TGATGCGAGCCGACATCCTCCGTGAATCGCGTCTCACTGTGCATTGATGTCACCAGGATTGTCAGGATTTCGAGAGGCAACGCGCTTGCCCGAGCCGCACGATCGCCGTCTCGATGCGACGGACTGTCGTCGTCGAATCGAGGGAGTCGATCAGTGGGACAATACTGGTATTCACCGGGCGATCGTCGTTCGCGACGATGATGAATGGTGGCAAATGACGATGATCCGTCTTTTTCGGGGATGAGAAGCTTGACGACGGCGCGCGCGTTCGGAGCTTCGATCGTGTGAATGTGGAGTCACACAAGCGCTATTCCGCATGAGTGTGTGTACGTGTGTGTAATGTGTTTTCTGTGTGTACGCGATGTATATACTTTTTTTTATGTCATATGCGGCATTATATACATACATGTGCATCCAGTTCGCTGGAGAGCAACGCGTCGCGTCGGAGTGAGTGAAGAAACGAAACGTTTATCGATGAAGAGATTCGGTACTCTGGATTCTACGCAGGTATTCCACGTGTCGAATGTGTGCGTGTTTCATACTCGAATACAATTGCTTTTTTGGGTCACCATGCATGCTCGCGGCCTGCATCAGCGGCGACGTGTCGATCGAAATCTTTCTCACCATCTGTCTCTCTCGTTTCATTCTCCTCTGCTCGAAAAATTTTCTCGACGATAACGGCGCTTCCCGTGGGACGAAGCTTGCTTCCTCTCCTCGCTCGTTAGTCGTAATTACCTAATAAATCACGCTGGTGATACGCGCAAAAGTTACGCGCCCCGCGTTTCGCGCGAGTTCATCGTGTCTCCCCGCGCCCTATTACGGAGTTTACTCTTAGTACGCTTTTACTTACGAAACACAAACATCCCGTCTTGTTTTATATATTTATTAGGTACATTACATATGTGTCAATACGATTCTCAAGCATAGTATTGTCAACAGTTGTGTATATCTTTTTTTTTTCTCCTTAGTTTCTCTTTGTGTTACGCGTGATCTCTCTCTTCTTCCTGCTAAAAAAGATGTGTATCTTACTCAGCGGTCTGGAGTCTGCCTTGAATTTCCGGTTCTCTACTCTACGCTGTCAGCGACGACCGGACGCAAAAGTTTGCGGCGATCTCTCGGGGAATTGTGCCTTCGATACAAGCGAGCGATAATCCGAAATAATCAGAGCATTTTTCTTCACGACCGAGAAGCAATAACGGATCGATTTGCACATTTCGCCATCCCCGTAACTCGTCGTTGATCTTTCGAAGACGATTCGAAATCATTTTGAAACATTAGCTATGAAAATTCATTTATTTAAACTTGTATTTGCAATTTATTTAAGATTGTAACCAGAGGCTTGAAAACGACATGAAACTATGAAGAACATTTTCGGAAAGAGCTGAGAAATCGTAAAATTATAGTATACGCTAAACATATGATTTAAGCGCGAATCAGGTGATTTTTCCAGAGCTTCGCTTGTTGTAATTTCTCGAGTGGATTCCTTTTTAATTATTTATTTCATCGTATCGCATTTATTATCACACTAGTTATCGTATCGTATGCAATCGTTCACTGAATTTCCGAAGCTAAAAGCGTCCGTGTCGTTACGCGCTACACACTTTTGCGTCCCTCTATCTCGGCGTCTGTATCTTCTTGCGGCTGATAATATCGCGGTTGAAGAAATACGATTTGTCGATGCGGTACACAGGGTGTCCCGGGTTTCGCTCATCTACGGACTCTCCGATCAATTTCGAGGGTTTTTTCCGCGACGAAAGGTTGTCAAGGCAGCGATAAGTTTCAAACTGTGATAAAAAGTCTAAGAATTTCAACGAGCGGTAGAGACGACGGAGCCTTCTTTGTTTAATTCGAAGTGAATATTACTTTCACAGTGCTCTTATTTCAGGCTTAGATACGTATTTAACATTAGAAAGTTGTGAAAAAGGATAAAACTTTCGTCGAGGAGAAATCCACTGCTAATTGATCACAGAATCGACAGACGAGGGGAAGTGGAGGCGATTCCCTGGTTCACTCTGCATATAATGTAAATATATATATATAGTAAGTATATATATCTTTCTCTCGTTTTCTTTTACCTCCATTATCGCGACGAGACTCCTCGGACGTTTACAGAGAATAGAAATATGGGAATGTATTTAAAGAAGAAAAATACTGTTGCTATGTTCATAGGATCGGTGTGATGTTGTAGTCGCATCTACCTTTGTCGTCTGTTTCCAGCTCCTGTACAACTTCCACCTTCCGCGTACGCGGACTCCCCCTCGTACGTGTACGTGTATATGTTCCTTGTGCGTGTACGGTGTAGCGTGTCGGTGTCCTCTTTAAGGGGTAATTATCACAGAATACACGAGATATTTTCATTAAGCTTACAAGATATTAATCGAAGCGGAGAGTAGGAGGAAAAATTGGCGGCCGACCCCGTCGACGGTCGCGGTGATTGCGGTGGATCTGCGATCGGGGGGGGGGGGGTACGAGTGTCGAGGTAATCCGTCTAGGTGGGCCCCGTCGACGAGGCCGATCTGAGTGCCGAATTCGCCAGCCCTTTCGTATTAAGTAATTATGTACTTAGTGTTAGGCAGCGGAGAAAATAGACACTTTTACAAATGAAGATGGTGGCGAGATCGCGGACCCGTGTTTTTCTTTCCTACCAGCTTGGTATTTTTCCGACACCGTCAGCGGCAGATGCAGGTGCTTCGTGAGAATCGATCGCCGAATTGAAGTCAACGAGCTTCCAACAGAATGTTAATACAATTTCGAGTACCGTATGCGCCACTGGCGAAAGAGACCTTGAAGGATTCGATGCCCTGACAATGTCTGTCCCACTTTCCTTTTCGACAGCACTTGAACAAATTAATCTAAATTTAGCGAATACAAATTACTAATCTACATACGATTACTTTACTTCTCTTAACGTTAAGATTAATTCTTTCAGATTCTTGAAGAGGTGGGCTCGATCACTGTTACGTGGAATCCTTTAATTCGTGGCCTGATGCTTCGTATACTCAAATTTGGCAAGCACCTGCAGCTGAGATAATCGGACGTTCACTTTCGAGATGGCCCTCGCCTTTCTTTCTCTGTCTGCCGATCGAAAATCCCGCGCTCGCAGCTACATCAGCAGTTTTAGACACTATACACAATACGTAAGTATAATCTAGACGTACTACGTAGTAGAAACTTTTGAATATAATAGCGTAATCTCCGGAGTTGTGTTGTACTTGCCCCGCCCGACTCTGCAGCCCTGGGCTGGACGATGACTGGATTCATCAGATACGAGGTCGCGTGCCTTCGAGTTTCTCTCACGGAGGGATCCGACCGAAGCTTCGTGCGATCGTAGCAGACGTAGCGAAGAGGGGCGTCGATCGTTCCCTACCCACCTTTTCGCGCGACACGAGCTTCCCGACGAAAGACACCGGCGAAAACGCGGCAGTTGCGTTTCCACGGACGGGCGAACGACCGCTACGCACACGAGACAAGTTGTACAAGATGCGAATGAAGCTAATATACGGTAGCGGTAGTCGTACTAATAATAGCAGCTTTAACGTCCGGTGCCTCATGCCACGTTCCGAGATGGCGTAAAAAACAATAACAGCTAAAAAGAATCAGAAGCTACGGTACAATTGCGTGCGCTACAAGATTACAAGTAGCCGGATTCAAGTTCACGGATATCATTCGAATAGCTCGGAAATTATCGAGCACGAAATTTTGGGCGACATCCTAATATGATCGGTCACACTCGGATAATACTCCGAGTATCCAGAATATCCGAGCACCGACGGTACAAATTGCGAGAGTGTAAGGGAGTTGAATTTTGCAGGCTCGTTCGCTCGTTCGCCAGTTCGTAAGAACGTGGATTCGGGTTCGCAGCCGCGTGCCGGGCGTATCGCTACTTCCGGAAGCGCGGGATCAACGCGCGTGCATCCCGTTCAGCTCGCACGTCAGTCTGGAATCGGTACACGCTGCTCTCGCGTGGCTTCCGAAGCTCTCGGGCGGATCACGGCATCATTCGCAACAGCAGCAACAGCATCAGCAACAGTCAGACTCTTACGATCATTTCTCTGGTATAATCTTACGAATAAGAACGTACTTTACAATTACAATGCCTTACTAACTTTTTTCTGTTTTTTTCTTTTATTACTAACGGCACGTCGCTACGTGACGTCCACAGGACGTGCCTATTTGGTCGTACGCAATGCTACATTTAAACTGTATATTTAGAAAAAACTTGTTCGTCTCAACAATGTTTTCACGTATCTACAGTAAATCTCGTCCTTCCGAACAAACGGCCTAGAAACGACGCGGTCGTATTGCGCGCACGCGCGTGTAAACCTTACGTGTGGGTGTATGTGTGTGCGCGTGGCATGTAAACTTTATGTATATACGATTCCGTGTGTACTCGACTTCGCGTCCCTCCGTTTACAGCACATGCGGCCGCGTCGCGGTCAAGGACCCACCGTACCGTGGACTCGCTTCTCGGTCCTCTTCTTTCATCTCGAAGTCAGTCTTTCGGCGAACGGCGAACGGCGCGTCCGATCGAGAGAGTTTCTGTCGCCTTCTGCGCGAAGCACCGTACGTTTAGTTTCTTCGCGGTGTTAAGTCTCTCGTCCTATCTTACATTACGAATATTACCAAATATATTGCGTACTGGCAGCACTGTTTTCACGTTTCGCGTCTTTTTGTCTAGCGAACACTCTCTCCCTCGTATCTCCGTCTCCCTCTGCGTCTCTCGCACTCGAAGAAGAGTCCGACGTGTCTCTTGCCTCGTGTGGCGCCGGAGCATCGCTCGTCGTCGTCGTTTGTCGCGAGCTCCGCGCCTCCTCGATTACTTAAACTCTCTATAAACGCAGGCGGGAGGAATCGCCCTTTTTTTGTTTCGTTATTGTAGTCGTACGCAGGACGAACGCCGAACCACGCGGGATCGACCTAGCTCGTCGTCCTATCTCGAGATCTGTGGAAGATGGTGGTTCCCGGTGCGTCGTCGCTGTCCAGGGACGGGGTTGAAGCTCTGTGTGTGTATGTGTGTGTGTGTGTCTCGTAAAAAAGGGAGAGGAATTACGCTCGATTGAACTCCACGGCGCGAGGGAAGCTGGAGAGAAGAAGTCGCTCCGCGGTAAATCGAATCCCGTTGCTAGGATTGTTCCCTCCTTGGATTGCGTGTGCCTCTCGGCGAAGAAGGGCGGAAGGGTTCGGGGCGATTGTTCTCGCCGGGTGAATCGCGCGAATTACATCTCTCTCGCGGAATCGTGAAAGGTTTCGTTCGCTTGTGGCACCGAAGGCATCAAATGCTGATCCCCTTTGGACGGCCTCCTGCTTCTCTTCCTCCTCTTCTTCCTGCTCCTTCTTCCTCCCCTTCTCTTTTTTCGCCTCTTCGGGCTCTTTCCAAGCTCGAAGTACTCGAATTGCTTCGCTATCGGCTTATTGACTCAACGTCGTATCTCCTCAAGTAGGATTCGGCAGCGGTGTCTCCTGCCTGATGTCGCTCTTCAGCTTTACGAACTCCTTGGCGATCTCATCGTTGTTGCGCTGCGAGAGAATGCGCAGGATCGTCCAGCCGGTCTCGTCCATCTGGATACGCTTGCCGAGCGACAGCCAGCACGCGCACGAGCCCTCCTCGGCGATGTCCTTGAGTTGCATCACCGCGACTCCGACAAGCCTGTCCTCCCTCGCGAAGCAGTAATCCTTCACGCAGATGTGCAATTCGTAGAAATCTAGCTGTTGTTGCTCGTTACCGATCATGCTAAGAACAAAGATGAGGGAAAACAAAAGTCAGAGGAACTTTCTCTCTGTGTAGACGTTAGCAGTTACCGACGAGTTGAATTTTGCGTTCGAGACTTACAAGTCGAAGCTCTCGTTGAATTGCGGCGACCAGTTATTGCTCTTTGATTTCGTCGACTGTTTCCTCTTCTTGCCAGTAAGATACGGTCCGATTAGATTCACCTCAACGTACGGCCTGAACATGCCCGTCGCCAACTGCCACTTGAGATCGTTCGCGGCTACAACTGGAGAATAAGAGATTTTTTTAGAAATGAGATTATCACCTAGCATTGTTAATTTGTCAATGTTGTATGATTGGTTTGACAAATTTTACGAGATTGCGATCGCACCTTTGACGGTGACTTTCTGCTCTCCCGTTCCCGGGTGCGTGAAGAGATCCACCTGGATGCTCACCTCGCCCACCGAACCCTCATCCGAACCAGCGGTATCTGGAACTTAAAAGTTTGCAATGAGAACTTACGCGCTTAAGTGCAATGGCCATGAAGCTAGAATGGCATCTAGACACTACGCGGACTTCGTCTGATTCTATCTGATGCTACGATCTGAAACTAAGGCTAAGAAAATCTAGTTCTCGACTTCTATTTCTAGAGCAGATTACATGCTCTGATAATAGGCAGGTCAGGTACTTGTTGTCAGCGTAATTATCAGAGAAGACGAAGTCAGCCTCCGCAAAGTATTCACTATTTGGTCACACGGTGTGTGTCGAGAATTATAAATTGTTCCGTTTCATCGGTTTTGCATCGGAAAAGAAAACAAATCACTCTGTTTTGCATTCGAAGAATTCTAGCGACAGTTTCTCCGAAGATTCAGTGCGTATGATACAAGTGTCTATGGTGCAGACGATCGATCGATCGATCAATCTGTGGATCTTAGCTTTTGGGTATTGGTCCCTTAACATTTTCGAAGGAACAACGTGGCGCCAGACAACGACAAGTACTCGTATGTCGCGCGCTTGTAAGAAGATCGTGTATGGTGACTTAGTGGTTAATGACAAAAGTTTCTTGACATGTGTGTGTACGTATATGTGTTAGAAGCGTTGTATTGAGGAAACATGAGGCCGAAGAGGCATTTTGCTGGTCGGTAAAGTTCTCAGTAGTAGCGGCAAGAGTGGCGGTAGTAGCAGCAGCGGCAGTGATAACAGCACAGCTTCCTAACACAGCTATCGTTGTCGAGACGTTTTTGGAACATTCTTCTTCTTCTCGGATTTAGATCGACCAAGGCTGGCAAGGCCTAAATCCGAGTTTTTTTTGGTTTTTTATCACTGGCGATATAACATTTCCAATTTTGATTCTTCTTCTTTATAATAAAATATAAAGAATTGGCACGGACATGAAGATTCGACAGACAGCTCTTATCCCGTTTGTCCCTATTGATTAAACGGATATTTTCATGTTGCTAAAAGAGTATGTAGTGGAAGGGTGAAGAAGAAACTAAATCGCATCGAAAGACGTCTCGACGGAACGATGATAGTTTCACTACGGCCTAAAAGTCTCTCCGACACTTCCAGCGACCTTCTAAGGCCTGCCCTGGTGGTACCTTGTCGGCTCTCTCGACGAAGAGAGGGCTTGCTCTGGCGAAGGGGTTCCTCGAGGCTTTCCATACCCTCGGCTCCTTCCCCTTCGTCACCTCTCTCGCTGCTCATCGAACGCTGACGCTGACGTAGCGTTGACGCGTCGTTCAGCGGCACTGTCCCGACAATTTTCATTACGTCGTAATGTGAGTGTAAAACACGCACACGCACGATATGTACCGACTTCTCGCGCGATAATTGCGCGACGGAACGTGTGATGTGTCGTTCGAATATATCGTTTGTGTCTAACTAATTCGTGTGTGTGTGTTCCTGATTAGTTTCGCTTTTATCGCGATTTCATCCCGCAATTGCATAGTACAAGAAACACATATAAAAATAATAGTTATTGTTACAGTTTATAAATTTGTAGTGTGAGCAATAAACTCGGAGCGACCTACCTTGGTTGACTTGTGAAGTAACGAAGGTCTTGATGAGAGTGTCCGTCGTCTGCGTGTACAAGCTCAACGCATAACGGAGGCTCTGCAGTTCCGGTGATTTCTCCACGAATATCTTCTTCAAGCCGTTACCGCCGGCGTGGAAGTACACCTTGATCGTGTCCAGAGCAACTTCGAGTATCGCGCACTGCTTCGGCGAAAGATTCTTCTCCACTTCCTTGGAGATATCCTGAGTGGATAAGAGTAGACTTATTAGCAATAGCCTTGAAGCGATTTTTCTCTTCATAAATTTTATTAATTCAGTCGATTCAAATCATTTCTACGACTTGATTAATTTCCATTACCATAACTCCGCTGAGGGCATTCTTGACATCGGGTTTCCCGGCCATGTGGTTCTTAAACAGCTTCGACATGTCTTCTATCTTGGCGTTCGCAGCGAGATTCTTAGCATTATCCGTCAGATTCTTGAACATCATCTACAACAAACAAGTATCACAAATCGTAACATATAATATTTTATCGACTTTTCCTCCAAAGAAATTTAATTGCAACACGTACACTCTTATCCGTCATAGGTGGCAAAACGACGGTCTTTTCTAAAAGTCTCATGACTATCTTCCACAGTTCTTTCAGCATTCTCTTCAATACCGTTTTCTCGCACGATTCAGCGTACAGAGATAGGCTACCGTCGAGCAGAACCATGAGCGGCCTCAAAACTTCTTCGGCCTCCAGGGTTACGTTGTTTCTTTGGGGCTGCGACAGGGTTACCTGTCCTCCGCCTTTGATAGCGCACAAGAGGTCTCCTACCTCCTTGACGGAAACTGTTATTTGCGGTTCCAAATTGTTCGCGAATAGTATAGCCAAATCGTCTAAAGCGCCGTTCAGCTGTTGTTGCAGCTCGTTCAATATGTTCGCCGCGTCCTCCTCGAGCTTATTGCCACCCATCGACTCGAACATCTTTTCTAATTGCACCCGAAGTTGTTGAATATTGTTCATCAGAATGCACGCCTGTTGAATGAAACAATTTGTAATCAAGTCAGTCGATAATAATAACTTGGCTTGAATTTCCGCAAATTTTGTTGCTCTCGAGTACGTACAATTCGTTCCTCCTTCAGATGGCTGGGGAATTCCTTCTTCACTATATCCGCGTAAGCCACCAAAACTTTGACGATGGTCTTCGCGAATCTCTTCATATACCTTTTCCAGATCTCCGGGTCCGGACATTCTAGCTTCGACACCACGTCGAAGCACTGCGTCAGCTGTGTGAAAACGTCGACGACGGAAACGCTGAAGAGCACGTGCTCGCTGCTCTTCTGGAACTGTAAGAAAAGATAAGATAAGAAGGGCCATTAGAGAACGCTACTGCAGCACTCCGAGATTCCTCGATAAAATTATGGCATATCATCACTTACGCCTTCCTTTTTATCTCTACTAAAGGCACCGTGGAGATATTCTAATGAGACATCATCGTTCTCATTGAGCCATTGCATGACGAAGGGCTCGAACCAGGCCGGGTATTCTGGCACGGCGCCCTTATATGGCGGCACGTCCTTGACGTAGTTGGCGTGCAGCCACTTGACTTTGAAGTGCAGATTCATATAGGCCGAGGACTTGCACAGTCTATGCTGCTCGTGCTCCTCCAGGGCGTACTTCATGTCCACTGCGAACAAGGACCACATCGTGGCCGCCGACAGTTGACCGATGTTGAGCTCCTGAGGGAATTGATTTAACACGGGCGCATAGCTGTTCTTGTCCTCCTCGATTACCGAGACTATCAGGGCGATCAGCTTGTGCCAGAAGTCGAGCGAGTCGAGCCGCGGCCCATGATCGTCCGTCTCCCGTTTCGCCTCGTTCGGATCCGCTTGGAATTCTCGATTGTACAGGTCGTAACAGTTCTCGAAGAGAAACTGGTAGGTCGATCGCAGGCACGCTTTCACGCAGTCCTTCACAACAGTGCTGGCACGCGGCGGGCTCGACAGTTCCTGGACCTTCATACGGAAAAACGTGATGCTCGTCAGCAGATCCACGGTGCTTTTCAGATCCATCAGCTTCTCCTGGCTTGAGGCCGGAAAATTGTTCCTGTACATCGACAGGTCGATCCTGAGGGAGTTGTGCAGCTGATCCAGTAGCTTGACGAATTTTTCTTTCTACAACGAGAATCATCCATTTAGTTTCTGCTTTTTCTATCAATAATGGTAGGGTTTCCATTTTTAGCAAATACGCTACGAGTAAATACGTTGACTTTTTTTTATTACACCTTCAGAACATTTTACCGATGTAATATCTATATGTTTCGCTAAGAGACTACTTGAAACTTTTTTCTCCTTCGATTTTCAGCCATGCCGAATTTCGTGCCCGGAAAGTTTTACGTATAATATTTTCGAAAGGGGAACATACATAATTCAAGAATGTGACGAAACATACTCTCTCATATTCACCGGTTCTCTTCCGAAATTAAGAGATTTACGAATTTAAATTTCGTGCAAAATTTCGGTTCACATATCGTTCGCTGTTTTATGGTGGTCGAGAGAATGTCGATTCGCGCGGAGGTATGCAAAAAGATATTTACATATTCCCCGTGCGGCAGGAAAATCCATTCGCCCGGCCTTGGCTGCCAGTCAGTTAAACTACAGATGGTGGAAAAAGAAACGCGGTCGAAGAGAATCTTAATTAAAATCTTAATTAAATAGCGTGCATACGGTCTTTCCGCTATTTTTTCTCTTTCGTCCGAGAAAAGTTATATGCTAAGAAAGGAGTAGAAAATACAATCGCAAACACGACCTTGCCACTCTTTAAGACGGGCATGGACCCAGTGACTGAGGGGTTTCGGGACCGAATGCAAGCATTTCTCGCTCAGACTCTATTGTCCTTTAAAGTCAACACGGCGAAAAGTCAAGTTACTGATTCTCGGAAGAAATCCGTTCTAATCCGCTAAATGACCAATTCGCCAAGATTCAGGCTTTATTCAAAGCGCCTCGACGCCGTCGGAGACTTTGCTTAATCCCTCTCGAAAGTTTACGAAGTAATTATTTAACCAACGTTATATATATATATATATATATATATTCTCCCGCATCGGCTGATCCCTTTATTCCTGGTGACCTGGTGAGAACGGAATTGATAGAGGGTCGGGCGAAAAGCGCGTCCTTGCGCGAGTCAACGCGTGACCGTCTAGGATATGAGAAGTAGCTCGGGATAACGGATAGCTCTGGTTGCCAGGAAATTGCGCGAGTATTTCTCGCTCCTCTCTCGCCGGGTTCCAGCATTCGCCATCCCTCACTCTTCTGCGCCTGCCCTACTGCGCGCGGTGGAGATACCGGGCGCGATCTTCAACATCCGGCACTTACCCCGAAGTTACTGGCGGCGAATCTATCACTGGCCGACACGGACGGACTAGCGGTCGTGTGGGCGTAGTGAGAGTTGATGTTAGCCAGGAGGATCGACATCACAGCCGGCACTCCTGGGCACAAGTATTTTGTCGAAAGGCAGTGGAAGTGCCTGGAAAGTACGAAATCACGATTGTGACCGGAAGACCATTCGCCCTGATTCTTCCCTTCATTGTTTCAGAGCATTTATCACAGTTTGTTGTAATCTTGAATACGCGACGCGTAATTTTGACTGTTATTCCTAATAGTTTCTATTGTACTTTACTGTATTTATTCTTATTTGTCTTGCTGTGATGGTTGATAGCTCAATTGCGGATACGCGGCTTCGACGACACTCACGTCATCGCCTGGTAGATGCTCTCGATGCCGTAACGCATGGCGAATTCGTCGACGAGCTCCTCGCCGGGAGGATCGAAGTAGATCTTCCAGGCGTCGTCGCCCTTCTGCCCCTGAGGCAGAATCACCAGGCCGCCGTTCTCCTCGCACAGGCTGTGGAAGAGATTCTCGTGCAAACAGGTGTACTGCACGTGGTAAGGTGCCACCTTCTCCTCGCCCTTGATCTCGACGCTAATGTGCAGTCGAATGGCGCCCGACACTGCACTCCTGTCCGTCCTCTTCTCCAGGTTGTACCAGACGTCCATCTCGCCGCTGAGAGTCCGGACCTCGATGATGGTCTGCCCAAGAAAGTCGTCGCTCTCCCTCGTCAGTTTCTGCCTCAGCTTCGACTTCAGGTCGTTGTCCTCGTCCCACACTCGTACTTTGATCCGATCGGAAGAGTTGTGGCACTCGCTGCGAACACAAGTTTGTGATTTTTACGATGTCTAGATGCTCCTTACGTCGCACTCTTATTGGAGTGCTACATTAAATTGCTTTCACCGATTTCAAGCGACCGACAATCGATCGACGAAAGTATATGCGTAATACTAACTTTTTGAGATGAAACAAAAGTGGGACATTTAAATTTTAATAGATAGATTTTCTATCATCGTTAATTATTTACAACTTCTTGCCACCGCAATTTTTAACTTTTAATTCCCTGACGCGATAAGAGTGTGTCAGTTTTGAACTGAAGGATACGTCGAGTGCCCTTTTATACCGTATTGTTCGTGGGATGATTCAATATTTCAACAATAGATAAGTAAACATGTAAATATAAACGTAAATATGTGGAGGGCAAACGCAACAACTGACGTCACCGCACGTGAAAACGCGAATTCGCAGTCAGCGAGATTGGGAATAGAGAGAATTATACATTCCGCTGGCGTGGCGGAGAAACTTGCCGAAATTACTTACAAATAGAACTTCTCGTGCCATACTGGGTTCAGCTCTCGCGGCATAGTCCTCGTGCGTTTCTTCACTTTACCAACTTGGACCGTCACGTAGGGATCGGATGTGCCGCTCTTATCCTTGGCGATTAATCCTTGAGCGCTGATCACTGGGGTACGGGAGAAGATTACAATTAGAAGACTGTCCGTCAGGCCTGAGATGCCTGGACCGGGCGCGAGGAATTTAATTCCCGAGAACGTAAATTTCTAATCTTGCGGTGCACATAATTCGATTACCGCGGGACAATAGCGCCGAATGAAAACATTACCGAAGTTTGCCAGCTGGCCAGTGTCCAAGAACGCGACTGCGAGAGTTAATCCGGTGGAGCTAACAGAACCGGATATCCGGCGGAACACATGTTCGCGCGCCGGCGAAAAAAAAAACAGATTTGCCAGGTGAACCCGTATCCCATTTTTAACCGCGCGAACGCGTCGCGATGGGATCGCGAACAAATACGTCGGACAATCGTCGCGTCATATTTCTTCCTCGTAAAATCGTGAGTAAAACTGGACGGGCGATAACAGCGTGGAATCTCGAATTCGCGACTCGGGAGGTCCGCGCGGATAAGGTCGACGGTACTTAGACGGTCTTCCCGATAAGCCAGCCGGAATTACAATTTATCCCGCGGGCCCGTCATATCGTTCGCCGGATCGTCGTTTCGGTTCCAGCCGGCGAGGATGGCTGGACGATCGGTCGCAAACGCGTGGTTACGGCTTTCGAAAGCCGCGACGTTCGCCATCGCGCAGCCCCGAAGCGATAAAATTTTACTGCCCCGTCCCGATTTCGATTTGGCGAGGTATGCGTATTTTATACGCATCTCCCCGGCTGACGTTAACCCGCATTTACCCCATGACGGTTTCGCGTTTGTTACTTATGACAGGAATTATCCGCGTCGTATCACTGGTGCTACTCTACTTCGACTAACGAGGCATAGTAACGTAAAGATTATGCAGCCATAGAAAATGATTAGGCACCCTCCTGATCGTTACACTGCAAAGTGTGCGTTACTTTTATACACATGTGTAATTTGGTGAAACACTTTTTGCACACTTTCTTCTGTTTAAAATCGCGACACGTGACTTGACAAACGTCATTTACATAAAAATAAATTTTAAGTGGCAAGAAATGTGTGAAAGAACGTACTTCAAGTCATGCGTTGTAATTTTAAACGAAAAGAAGTGCATAGAAAGGGCGTTACTTCTATACACATACATGTATAATTTGGTGAAACACCTTTTGCACGCTTTCTTCTGTTAAAAATCGCGACACGTGACTTGACAAACGTCATTTACATATTTCTTACCGTTTAAAAATAAATTTTAAGTGGCAAGAAATGTGTGAAAGAACATACTTCAAGTCATGCGTTGTGATTTTAAACGAAAAGAGGTGCATAGAAGGTGCATCACCAAATTTCACATACTCGTATATAGTATGTGTAAAAAAAGTAACACTTAGATTTCCGGTGTATATTGTACTGAATCTAATAGTAGTGAGATTTTTATTGTTTCAAAATTTACTGTATAGAAGCAATGAACGCTCTAGCGAACAATTTAAAAAAAATTAAAATTTTTCAGATTCAGTACAGTACAATGATTAAGAGGGTGCCTAATCATTTCAATGGCCGTATCTTGTCAACTCTTTGAAGCACGGTGTTACACATATGTTACACCTCCCGAAATAAAAAACCCAACACTTCCTTCAATGCCTTTACTACTTCATGTCTAGAAGGCTTTTGGTACGCTAATTCTGACTCTAAAGTCGCAATTCTAAAGTTATCGACAATTGACTCAATATAGCAGCTCAAAGTTAAAGTTTTCATTAAAAATTTTGTTTTCTATAAGCAATGTCTTGTAGTCAAAAATTATTCCTATATACGACATTCCCAAAGGTATCTGGGGGCTTTTGAGATCACTGACTTCTAATCTGGAGTGAAAATTGGAAAATTTTAATACCCAAGATGGAGGATCCGATACAAAGAGTCGAAATTGCAGAAAATCGATCTCTCTGAAACTCGGTATATTCGAAAGTTTTTCAGGCTGCTGATTATATATGACGTCAGTATTACAAAATTCATAATGGATCCAACATGGCACCTGAAAATCTGTATTTGAATTTTGTAATTCTTACACCAGAATCGTAATCAACAACTCAAAAACCTTTCAAGTATTAAGTTTCAGAAAAATCGGTTGAAGGAAAAAATGTGTGCTTCAAAGGGTTAACTTACATCGAGTAGCGTTTCTTAGGGAAAATAGAAGAAAATAGAAACTCCTCGTATTGTCTTCCACGAGTTGCTTCCATTCCTTCGTTATCGCCAATTCGATCCTCGCGGCGCTTAATCGACTATTCGGAAGAAATTTTTTCGCGGACGTTTCATATTCATCTGTTCGCACGTGCGCGTCGGCCGAATGAATAAATATGACTCTGCTTTATGTGAGAATTTAATTAAAAACACGTAGACACTCTGGAAACAGGTAGTGAGTCCGCAGGGCTTTTATCTCGAGATATTCGAGGAATCGGGAAGGGCCGGTGGTTTCCCATTGAACCTCTTCCATTATTAAATCGCTCGGCGCTTTTTCGCAAAACTTTTCAGATTTAAAACAATCAATTTTGCTCCCCCGGGGGCGAGAGGGACTTGCGGTGTGTTCCAATTTTTAAACAGAAATACGCGATTCGTACGCGAACGAGTTCACGAACGTAGATAAGGCAATTCTCGATCGGTTATTTATCGCGAAAAGTGGCAAAAGTGGAATATCCCCTCTTTATACGCCTGGTCATCGTAGCGGCAAATAATTATATACGTCGTGTGCGAGAAGATGCATGCAAAGGCTCAACATCCATCCGATTTGGACACTCGATACCCATTGTAGGCAGCCATCGTAAAAGCGTGCAGAAGCTTGGCTTGGGTCGTGTACATATATCATATAATAACGTATACGAGGATATATACGTACACATGTGTACACATATGTGACAACATAAAAGGAATATTTAAAACATATAAATATATATATATATATATTTGCGTGTGAATGTGTGTCTGTGTGCGTGGTATCATATATCAGATAACGTGCTTCGGTCTGGATCGACGGACAGACACACATGCCCATGCTACTAACTCTTTCTGACTCGCACCGCCGATTGCAGTGGGGACGATCGTCGACGCTTCCTGCCCTCGATGAATGTCGATTTCATACCTAATCTCATTAATCATCAAGTCATCGCCACAATCCACTTGGTGAGAGAGATGTCAAGGGTCTCGGCGCGTCCAGGCGCGTCCGTGTGCCTTGTATCTGTGTCTCTGTGTGTGTGCCTTGTTGTACGTGTGTGTACGTATATTCGCGCGTGTATGCACGCGTGTGTGTTAATTGTGTCGCATCACACTGCGTTTTGCAACGTCGTACAACGTCTGCGCTCTGTACATGAATGAGCGTTGCGCCTCATTAATTTGATAATTAACCCGCCGCAAGAATATTACCGCGGTACGCGATAACGAGGCGGATTTATGGATCCGTTGCGTCGATTCGCCCGATTTTATTATGCACGAGGTACTTAAGATTGGAAGGAGGCGCGCGCAAGCGGATGCTCGGCTCGAGAGGAATTGCAATTGAAATTGAGCACTTCATCGCGCGTACAAATCCATTACGGGTAAAGCGGATCTATCGGTCGTCGAAAAATCCCTCGCTGTTAAAACCGAAACAATATATGCGGACAGGGGTGGACGCGCGTTTCACGTCGCGCTCCACGTGACCCGTCACGACGGAACTCCGCATTTCGCGAATTTAATTTCTAAATACCGAAAACGCCCACGGAATAGAACGCCACGCTTCGCCGACGCGTCGTGTCTCATTTCGACAATAGAAAGAAAAAAGAGAGAGAAAAAAACGTCGAATCGATTGTCGCGACGCAACATAAATATTGCAATTATCATCGGTATCGAACGTGCAATTTGTCGTTCGCGTGTGCGTTACGAGGCTGATCGTTATCGGCGCGTATTGGTGTTAAGCCGCGTACACAGATCCAATCTCGTTCGAGATCGCGCACACACACTCGCGCGCGCTAATTTAACGTGTCGGGCTCGCAGCCGCATTCATTTTTAATTGATCACACTGCGGCGATGCGTACGCCGCGGCGATTATGCCGCGGTGTCACGCGGAATATACCACGTTTCTTTTTATTATATTATCCCTCCGGCGAAGGGGATCCCGCGGGAATAATACGATCCTTCCCGCGGCTCTCCCCTCGACTCTCCCGCGCAATCTGCACAGCGATATCTCGCCAGATAGTCATTTTAATTTGCGCCCGGCGAGTCAAGAGATTTGATTACTGGGGCGGAAGAGGAAGCGGCGCCGACTGTTACCACCTCCGCTCCACCTCCCTCGCCAATTCGCACCCTCCCCGTTTGGCCCCTTATTTCCCTGGATCTCCTCCCTTATCTCGTGGTGGTTAACCCGTTGAGGGCGCGCGATCAAAATCAGATTATTCTCAGAAGGCACACATGGGGAAACGTCGAAGCGCTAAAACCGCAATTCGATACGCCGAGAAATGGTGGCTGCTGCACGAAGGAGCGGTTAGCATAGGTGCTTTGGTTGGGGGGGGGGGGGGAGGGCCCTTTGAGTTTTATAAATTCATGACCTTTTTCATTAAAAAATATCACTTAATGCATTATTGATCAAATGCATCGATATGCTAGGTTATATATATGCACATTTAAAAACATATTTAAAAATATGTGACATCGTCAGGTCTCAAAGAGCTGTCAAATTGCCTCAAAACGTTGTATCTTTCGACTTTACCGATAACATTTGCTTGCAGAGGTCGGTGACCTCGTATACTTAATAGCACATTTAAATCCTCGTGACATTTATTATGTTTAGCTCGTTTTTTGTTAAGATCTAGTTTTTCTATAAAACAATATTAACCCTCAAAGTGCCTCCGCGAGCGATCTCGGCCCATAACTCCTGTCCCAGTGAACACCATGTGATAGTTACATAATATCAATATTATAATTTCCTACTTAACAATGGAAATGTAATATAACACGGTTGTTATGTTACGTTTATCTTGTTGAGTAGGAAATTATAATATTGACGTTATGTAACTGTTGCGCGGTGTTCACTGGAATATTAAAAATACAACTTTAACACTTTTTCTTTATTTTATTTCACCGGCGACCGGGTTTGAAGTTTCGCGTACTGATAAAATGTACAACCACAACATACTTAAATTTCAATCTCTTCTACTGCTGATCGGTTTATGCAGGAGCCACTTTAAACAGCTCGATCCTGTTTCGAATTATTCCAGTCGACGATTAAAAGTAACGCTCGAGTCCTCTCGCAAAGGTTTCTATGTGCGTTACGATATCGCGTCGCTTCTTTTCCCTCGACGTAATTCTTTATTATCAGGACGGGAGTCACGAACAGAGATCAGAAATGGCCGGGCCAACGGACCGACCAGCCGGAGCCACCGCCGCGTTGACAGCCGTGGCCGGCGGTTCCTTGGCGATATAACTTGGCCCAGAAATTGTCTCAATTTTCTTCTGCTTCTTTTTTGATTACCCGAGCTCGTTTTCCGCGCCGAGGGTATATAAACGCGCGAGGAAAGAAACGCTCGCGACGGTGGAAATAAAAGGAAAGGAGGGAGAGACGCGCTGTCTGAAACAGACTATTCCGCCGATTTTATACTCCTTCCCTTTTTTTAATATACCGCGCCCTATTTACTTATCTCCCGTTTTCAACGGGATAAAACCGGTAGCCCACCCTTTTTCATACCGCCGTCCTCTCTCGCTTTTCCTCTCGCCACTTCCGCTGTTAGCGGCGGACTAGGAAAGCGCCGTTGGATATACGTCGGCAGCTTTTGAAGGGCAAAAAAGTTTGGTTGCAGCTCGCCATGCTCACCGTGCTTATCGACTTTCCCGCGCCGGAACACGTTACGCGGCGCAAATACCATTCATCCTCCTTTATCCTTCCAGCTGATCGTAAATAATCAAGTGCCTCTTAGTGTTCCTCCGTCTCTTGCATTACGTTAAGTGCGCAAAATGCAGTTTACGTTGAATCCCGCGTCGTTTAAAATCGGTCTGCGTACTCCGCTCTGCAATATGCAGCTTTTTGTGCCGCAGCTCCGATTAATGCGGGGTAGAACGATGCGTTGCGGCTTGTTATCGTACCATTATTGAAGTGTTGGATATACGAGCGATGATAAGAGACGTGAAGCGCTCCCGGGCGCGCTCAACCGAAACGTTACGCCCTCCTCTGGGAGCCTCGGCGAGCCTCGGTTATTTAAGACGACCGAGGGAAATTTCTCCGCGCGTAAGATTTTCCCTCGCCCGCCTGCGCGAATCCCCGCGGTAGGAGCGTTGACTGCGGGCGCATCTCGGGGCGGTTCTTCCATTCGCCAGATCTCACTATCGGCGGTGGCCTCGGGAGCGATGAAAGAAAACAAATCGAATCCCATCGGACTTTTCCCCGACGAGTTCTCTCGGCACCTCGCGTTTTCGGCGCGTTCTCCCGGCGATCGTTCTCCGACGTGACGTCCCCGATCGCGTCCCGACCGTCTCTCATTATTGGCTGCGAGCCGAATTACATTGATCGGGGATCCACGTTGGCGCTCTTCTTCTTTCTCTCCGCGTTACATCTCGCGCACTCGAAATATTAAAGAAACGTGCCGGGAATCGAGCCGGCGAAATTCTCCCGACAAAGTGGATGTAACGCCAATTCCCTGATTAATGGGATTATACTCGTTCGGCTTGTATTCTCCTTTGTGCAATTTCCAAGTAGATAAGAAATATACCTATTCATACGCGACGTGAATGGGCCGCGGAAGCTGAGCCTGTCTGTACGTTGAACTATCGATCTTCGTGCGGAGGAGCGCATACGTATGCAGCTTGCGCCGCGCTGCCGTCTGCCACGTCGTTCGCGGCAGAGGCAGCTACGATTGCAATTCCGATCGGGCAACTATAATTCTCTACAACGTACGCTACTTGCCATGCCGCGTAAAGTTACACGCCCCGGACGCCTATCGTTTCTATTGGCACCTGGCGTTGTAGCAGCGTCGGCGAATTGATAGAAATTCGGAGAGACGAAAGTCGCCGCTAAACGGGAAAACGGTCGCGTAGGTTTCCGGTTCTTCCCGTACGGCGTGCAAATGGCACAACTGACGAATATAGTTATCGACGTGCTATTTTATCCGCGACGCCAGGACGTAGCCTAGACATATCTGAATCGTTGAAGTCGCCACGCCGGAACGACGTCGCGTTACGCTTTTCAGACGACCGACCGGCGGAGCCTCGCAAATTGCTTTAGTTCTCATCGTAACAACGGGAATAGCAATATATATATACACGTATATATATATCGGCCAACTTTAATATATTTCGGAACTTTACGCAAGAATGAACGGTAACGTTGGAGATTCAGATGCGCCGCTCGATCGATCCTCGGCGTTCGACTTGGCGCCGCGGACGAAGCGAATCGATCGCTCGATATGGTGCATGCCCCGGCGGCCCCGGCGCAATTGGAATGCGAGAACTCGACTGCGGAGCACGCGGCACTACGCAAAGTGTACCTCATATATCACGCGCCGTTGCTTATCAACCCGATGGTGCTCTGTGATATAGATCTTTTCGCGTTTGCTTTGAAACGAGAGCCGTGCGCGCGCGAATAATGATTGAAAAATCGAGATAGAGAGAGAAAAAGAGAGAGAGAGAGAGAGAGATAGACGCTTGTGTGCGTGTGTGCGCGAGACCGTGCCGGAGGGGTGCGACAGGATGCGTAATGCGCCGCCTCTGTTCCTGATTACGGGATTGTCGGGTGAATTCGTGGCCTGTCCGTTTCCGCGCGGAGGCCCCAAGTTTCAAACTTATCACGGGGAATCAGTAAGCGGCGGAAATTACGTGACGCGCCCCGCCGGTGATCTCGGAACTTCTTGCCCCCGTGACTCTCGGTGAGAGAAAATTTTCTCCGTTTTACGAAGAAACGGTGATCTCTGGTGATGTCTCGACAAGTTTTTACAAGTGTAATCGTGTGTCTCAAGCGTGTTACGTGTGTACGTGGTTTACAGAACTGAGCGGTGGGCTCGTTAGAGATTGTGGAGAAGGTTCGTTAAAACGCTTTCTCTAAAGGTATCAGTATCGTGTCACCTGTGATGGCGATCTTGCAGGACCACTTGCTGGTACCCTCGAGGACGATCTGTTCGGCCTGCTCGAGGCTGTCTATGTGCGTATCCGGGTCGACTGAAAACGTCGTGCTGAAAAGAAGACAATGTCGTCGTCATCGGATCGTCCTTCGACAACCTCTCGTATCCTTCTCCTCTCATCGTCACTTCTCCTCTCGTTTCACGCCCTTTAGAGATTCCTCGGGAAAGAGGATCCTCTCGAGGCTCGGCAGCCTCGAGGTGGCCAGGAAGTGTACGTCTTACGGAGGCCACCGAAGGACGCGGGTTCATCGCGAGGCGGAAAAATCGTCCCTAATCGTCCAACATCATCCAGCAGCAGCAACAGCAGCAGCAGCGACGGCAGCATATTCAGCAGCTCAGCTATGCTAGCGGGAGTACATTTGCGCAGCCAGAATGCTAAGGTATTTTTTCCGGGATTTAGTCTGTATGTACGTGTGTGTGTGTGTGTGTGTGTGTCGTGTGAAAGCAAAGCGAGACGTGTGTTTTAGATCCGCGCCTCAATACAGGATGGATTAGCCCTGTCCGCTGGTCAGAGTTTCTCCCCTGTGATCCCCTGCCTTTCGCGAATTTTGCGCGAGTCGAGCCTGCGGAATTTGACGGATGAATATGGATGGTGGGTGCCAATCGGGGCGGGCGGGACTACTTGAATCTCGGATTACAGCTCGATCGGAAGCAACGCGATTGATTTTATTTACATAAAAGAGGGAACGACGGGATTGACGCCTCGGCGCGGAGGAATAATAGATGGGACGAAGTCGGGGGAGAGCGAGAGTCGCCGTCGATCACGATGTGTTCCGTACCAAGTTTCAAGTTCCACGCTTCGCGTCCCAAGTACACGGAAGTGTGTACAAGAGAAGCCAAATCGATCACGAGCGCGTCGCGCCCGATATGGTAACGAGTGCATTGCCATGCCACCTGTTAATCCCGCGCCGTTGTAGAATTAGCGCTGTTTTATACAGGAAGTTCTTCTGCGAAGGCGCGTCTACCAGACTAGAATAAGAAACTTGTTGCTCGACTTGCATGGCCCACCGCCAGCACGGGACTTCCATTGATCTCTCAGTTATGGTAATAATCGTCTCGCGAAAACGACGAACGGCTTTATGTGCGCCACGATCGGTTACTTCTTCCCCGATCAAATTTCTGCTCGTCTATCAGCTCAGAAGGATCTAATTTTCTCTCCCTTCGTCGAGGAATGATTATAGACATCCGTTACTCCTGGTCGAAGGTTTGATGTCTACATCGAGTTAAAAATTTCTCAAAAGTTACGAAAATTGGAGCAGAGAGATTAAGAGATTCGCAGTCACGTTGTAAACGACTCGGAGAAGATAACTTGAAGTAACTTAACTTTTTCGAGAGTAAAAGGAAGAAAGAATGATGAACCGAAGCCCTTTTTTAGGCCATCGATCAACGCCGTTGAAATATTCTCCGGCAATGTGCGCTAAGTATACCGCGAGGGTTGTATGCGTTTACATTTCTACCGTCCCCGCCGGCACGACGAGACAACGATTGGGAGAAGAGAGGGGTTTCATCCTCTCTTTGAACCGGAGCCACGATTGTCCTGCGGACACGTCGTCGCGCGAAATGAAGGCGGCGAGTACAAAGACGGCAGAATGTGCACGCCAAGTATTTCGGTCAGGGTACTTTTTCCTCGGTCGAGCATTTCTTCCGCGCGTGTTTCCAGCGACACAACTCGGCACGAAAATAATCCGTGGGAAGGAAATCGATACGCACGACATGTGTGCCAGCGCGGCTCGTTTACGAGAAGTAAATAAACGACGCAGAACTCGAGTGTTTCTTCAATAGGAACGCAACTTTGTGAGGTTACTCCCGAAGAGAATGTGCCTAGTTTCACGTGACATATTGTCTCATTCTTCACGCGTGTCTAACAAACTTTATCGTCTATAAATTATAATGGCAATTTATTTCTCGAGATGAAGCGTATACGACATAGGGAGGACAAACACATTTATCTACCCTTCAACATGTCTTCGTAATAAAACGCAAACCGTTGAACTAATCCGACATCTATCGAGACGAATTCATTTCCCTTATCTTCGACACGCGAGACCTATTTCCGCGCTACAGGTTTCGAACCAGGAGACGCGTTCGATCGAAATGATGATCGATGCCCCGTGACGTTCGACTCTCATCCCGCAGCGAAACGCAACGGGAAAGAGAACGTGCCCTCGATATACCGAAGATTACAGGTGGTCGGTAGATTGCTTTCGATAGACGTCACTGTGGTATTGGCCTATCGGTCAGGGACTCGCGTTCATGGAAGCTCGGATGGCTATAGCCGGGCCGGGTTTACCTTAGACAATGGCAACGGCACATACTTGCCGCCACAACAAGTTGCCACGTGACCTTAATGGACTTTCGATTGAATTCCCTTGGAGCAGAGGAACATCGCGTGATACCTGACCGGTACGATCGCACGAAGCGCCACGCCGCGCCGGGGAATACGTACACATTCACTGTCGAGACCCATAGATCTCCATATCGATGCGTAAACAAGGCGACACTCGAATCAGAGGCGCGCACGGCGACCTCGTTAATGTGATTTCGTTAACGAGAAATAACGAGCGGTCCGAGGATGCGTTTCAAGGATTTCCGGAAATACTTCGGCGAGCCGGTAATTGAGGTGTTGTTTCTGGAGGAACCCGCTCGGGCGGACTGCGAGGGGATTTCATTTCGCCGATGGAACACGAAACTCCACTCGTTCCCTGGAAAAGAGGCTATTGCAAATAGCGCGTTGAGCGCGCCAACGAGGAGAGAACTGTCTGCAAACTCGATTTCGTCGATCTCGTTGAAGCCGGACCGGTTGCCACGACGGTAGCGGGGATTGGCATGAAATTGGAGCGAAGGCAAGTACCGTTGGGAACGGGAAAAAAAAAGAAACGAAACCCTGATAGAGAAGGGGCGAGGGCGAATGCAGAGTAATGTCCAATTAAACCGGGTGTTGTGCATTAACGGTCAGCGCGCGGTATCGTCACATCCAGCGAACAAATGTAAGATCATAAAAACGCCAGCACATACACGTAAAACAACAGCATATAGCGTACACGCGCACACATACAGTAATAGCCTGCACTGCTTGGGGGGTGGGGAAGGGGGTGGAAATAGTTACGGGGGTTATGTAAGTCAAGGTGTTTTCTAAGGTGGGGATGGGTGTAGTTCGACCATCGTGAGAGTACGTCCGCACGACGCGACCGGCGTTAGATGCACTCAGCTTACGAAGAAGTTAAAAAAGAAGGAGAAGAGATTAAAGATTTGGATCGCAATTTGTAGCCCCAACGTGAGAGGCAGTTATCATTACCGTCCGCACAATGGTCGAACGGCTTCCGGGATTGCGCGTGGGAATGGAATTACATATAGGGTAGTTGTTATTCGATATCGGTATGTTCATGGCACAATCAATACAACACAGCCACACGCGCGGCAGCCGCCAAGAGCCAGTTATTGCCGTCAGGTCTAGGTATAATGGCAATAATAACAATAACAATAATAATAAGTAATCAAGGTAATCTTGTGCGCACACGCATTATATGTATCATGGATATGGGAACAACGGTGACTCGCACTGTACAGATCAAAATACATAGGCATACGCAGCACACACATGTATCATGTATCGGAACGGACACCATACTGATGACACGCTGGTCGCGTGCACGAGGATACGGAGAGTGCACAAGACCAGGTTTTAGAAATCGGCGAGCACGGGCTGGCCACAAACCTGTAATAGCGATCTTCGCCGACCACTTGCTGGTACCGTCCAAAACCGACTGCTCCACCGACATCATGTGACCCGAGTGCGCCTTCTCGTCGACCCCGAAGACTGACCTAAACTCCGACGAGACTCTCTTTCACATAACTGTGCCAACGGCCGCGATCTCGTCCTATCTGCTTCTCTCATCGTGAAATATACATATCTTTTGACTATCTTTACGCACAATAGCACTTTCGCCGCGAATTCTCAACGGAAGATTATTTCATTTGCGAAATATTGTCAGTCTGTAGGGATAAAAAAATAAGAGTACGATGGCGGAATATATAAACCGGCGCATGAGTCTAGCCATTTTTTTCCCCCGGTGAAAATTGCGCTCGTTTTTAACAGTTAACCTTCCGCGAAACGGAATACGCTGTCGCGACAGTTGTTAATGAATCCCTACGTGACAGCTTGAGAATTCTCTTTGTAGGATCAACTGTTCGTTCAGACGGCACTGTTTCTTGCTAAATTTGCAAAATCCCGAAATCCCGAATAAAGGGGAAACGGCGATAATCGAGTGTTTCGGCAACGGATATTTTTAGAACGCGTGCCGAACAAAATAATCTTCTGAAGCGACTGGTCATCGATCAAAGCGCTAACGAAAACGTTGATTGCTCGACGGCAATGGTATCGCGGCGCTGGGTGATATCGATGCGCTCGGATACGTCGCGATCACTGTATATCCTTCAGAGAAGACGAGATCGGGCCTTGTGACGGTGAAACATTTCGCTTTAGCTTCGCTCGTTCTCCCTTACAATTTGCCCTGCCTATTACTGTCGCCACTGCGTCGCCGTATTCGCGTTTTATTTAATTATGGATTAATCCCAGTCTATTGCCGCTGGGTACAAGTATTCTTAATTGACAACTAATTATTGCCGCCTGGGATATTAAATTAATTTTCAGTAATACATATAACCGTTGCGGGCACAACATTCTGCGTTGCAGTATTTCTTGCGGAAGCGAGACCCGGCGCTTTTCCCGGCACGTTCTAACGATCGCTGCAGCTGTTCCACTAATTTCGCTCGTGCTAATTACCGACAAGTTAAATTATTAACGCTCGGCAGAAACGAGAAAAATATCTGTAAGTATTAATGCGCGCGGATTAATTCATCACGTTTACTAGTAAATATGTAATCTTGGGCCAACGTAAGTTTAACACAAAATTCGCGCCGACTTGATTACAAATGATTCGGAAAAACTAATCTCTCCTAAGATCACTAATCACCTGAATTGCGAACTGCGTAAATATATAGTTTGCGCTTAAAAAGTTCCTACAATACGCTAATTACGTGATTAATTGAACAAATACCGACCGGGGCCGGTTTAGCCGTGCGATTATTGAGTCACTCGTAAATGCAGATCGCGCAAGCGATATTAATTAACATTGATTTTCATTAGCCGACTGCCTGCCGAGCCAGCTTTTATCGCGATGGCTTTTACGAAACCGTACTACTCTATGTCTGTCGCGCCGTCGATATTTATAATAGCCGCGATAACAAGCCGATACTAGGGTAATAAGATTGAAATGCAGCGCGGGCAGCGGAGATATCTCGAATAGCTCGACGCTTAATTAATTATGGCAGATATGCGACGGATTGACGCAAGGTGCGCAAATGCGATTAGACGGTTATTATGACGATGCTGACGTGCCTAAGCCGCGTGCGTTATCCATTTATCATTCACCACAAATAGGTCGGTTTTGGTGAAAACGATCGCTTGACGCCTGACCCCGTTATATTTTCGTATAAACGCAAATTCGGAATTTATTTAAATTACCATTTACATCAGCGACACCACCGAATTACAATTAAATTGCAAATAATACACAAAAGATTTTTTATTCGCGGTTCTCTTGAACACAAACCCAGTACATCCCCAGAGTTGAAACTAATTGTAAAATAATATCGCGCGAATGTGTGCGTGTGCGTAAGTGTATGCCAGTGCCGATTATCGAGCGAATATATAATTTGTGAGATTATTTAATTCTGACAGCTGATTTGATTGCATGGGAATAACACGGTTATTGAATGAGGCGGATTTCGCCTTCCCATTAAAATCGATGATATTGCGGAAATTATTATTATAGCTGAATATTATATTATTACACCAAAATCGTTGTACATGCGGCGTTACATAACTTCTTATTTGCCTTCGTGGCTCCTTTTTCTCAATTTATGATAAATATACGAATTACACACGTTTTTTTTTCCGCAGCTTTGAGCAGACAAACTGAAGAGAGTATCGACCGTACGTGTGTCTGCTGTATGATTTGCGGCAGCGGAGAATGCACGTTGCGATGTAAAATAAATACACACAAATTCAGCAAGATAACAAGTAGATAAGTTCGAGGTCTGAAACGCGAACCGTGTTTGTCGCGCTTATCGTAAGGCATTATTCACGAGCGTTCACACAATACCCTACCCCGGGGGTGTGTCGTGACGCATTAATATTCGTCCAAACGATGTTTATACGGCCTTTAACGATTTCCTATGTTTGAGGTCGTGAAATAGATCTGGCTCGGCTGGTGGCGGTTTATTCGCGGAACCGTTTACAATCCGCTCGCGCAAAGCGGAGACTCGTCTCGGGTGGAACGGGACTCGAATGGGTCGTCGCGGCGAGTAATTAATTCACGGTCGAGAACGGCCTTTTATCCGGCGTTAAAAAGAAAAGGCTACTATCGCGATCACAGGCGACGTTAAATATTTCCTTTACGAGACTTTTATTTACAACGCGCTATCATTGAAGCTGACGGCGTACCCGCTGATCCGAAAATAGCGGAGCAGTGGCGACAGACGATCGCTAAATTGCATTGAGATCGATCGGTACATCGACCGACACGCTATTCCTCCTCGAACCGAACTGTCATTGATCGATTGACACAGTACGGTTGTCGTTGGATTGACTTGGGCTGCGAGGAAAAGTAGAAAAGAAAAAGAAGCGAGCGCGGTAAGCGGATACTCACCGAATCAACTCGAAGATCTCCGGTTTCTCTCGCTCTCTCTGCTTCATTCTCTCCTTCATGGCCGTGATTATGCTCATCGCCTTATCCTCGGCGCCGTGCTTTGAGCTCTTCTCAGCCGCCCCTACGAGAACGGAATGGTATAACGAAATACAAAGTATATTCGAGATTCGCATATATTTTGCATATGGTTATTTAGCCGGGTCGTTAAAGGTGCATCACTGAGCAAAATTCCGGTCAAACGTTTAAATCCGATTATTCGCTCAAAGATTAATTCTCAATCTTCTCGGTGTCGCGGCGATATCGATAAAACGCTTTTATGTCCGGCGGAGAGACAGAGACAGAGAGAAACGTGTTTTACACGTAAAGAAGATTTATTACGCGATTCGGCGCGCATGCCGCGCTGTTTTTCAATGCATCAACCGATAAAACGCTGACAAAAAAGTCGCGATTTTTCCCGAGGCGGAATTCTGTATATCGCGAAAATCATGACGAGGTGCCATCGGCAGTGATTGAATAACACCAGCGCGGCTTTTTCCGTTCTTCGGTATCACCTGAACACGATGCTAATAACGGCCGGTATTGCGTTGCGCGAAATTACATACAAACTGGAAAATATGACACATCGCGCACAGATCGTGATGGATGGCCATGCGTTCTGCGCGTTACATAATAGTCGCGTCAATTTTGATCACACACAATCGTTTCAACATCAGACACGTTAGATGCAAGTGCGATAGCGAAACATTTCGCGTCTGATACGATCTGATACGCCGGTCGCGTTTCAAATTTTACACGAAGGCACGCATCGAAGCCGCTTGCCGTAGCTATCGGTATCGGCTATTTTAATTATTACTGGAAATCCTGCTGTACAGGAGAGCGGTGGTACGGGGAGGGATACCTGAAAGGGATACCTGCAAGGAAGAACGAAGGAAAGAACGTGACGCGAAACACCCGGTATATTGAAATTACAACGGACAGCAGTGGATGAGGGAGAATTAATTGAGAACGGAATTACGGGGCAAACCGTCGTGCGGCGAATCGGAGGCGGGGAGGCTGTAAATTAATCGTGGACTGTCCGATCAAGGAAAGAAACTTTATCGGGGACGGAGTCACGGCAGAGGCGGGGAAGGGGTTGAGAATCATTAGACTGGAAGTGCTAGTACGAATCGATAGCGAATCCAGACGAAGAGGACATCTATAGAGAGCATCGAAGATCACCGGAACCAAATTGAAAGTCTGATGGACGGGCCGACGTTAAAAGTGTCATTACTTCCCGATTTCCGAACATTGGAGATTGGTTTATAAAATCCGTCGCGTCATTGCGGATACTTTTATCGAGCCGAAGTGGCTTCGCGTTGTGCCCACGTAAAAATGATTTTTGTCCGCGAGACGGACAATCCGTGAAATTCAATTGCGCGGTTTAACAATCGTTCGATTATCCCGTTACGGATCGATTTTACACGGAATACGGGAACGACATCCGTTTATTGACAAGACACCGGCCGACGACGGAAATAGCACTGGTAACTGCAAGAAGCAACGAACGGAGGTCGAAGTGTCTTACAGGGCGGATTAATAATTAATTCGCATAAGTAGCGACAGCAAAGACGGAAAATAGTCATTTAAACTTACGTCTGTTCTGACTTATTCATTCCTTCTAATCTCTGTTTAACGAAACTTTTCTCAATTTTGCTTGACTCTTATTATGTACACTGACAGAAAAAATTGGTTAGAGTGACTATAATCTCACTATATTTTATAGTGAGATATTTTGGCTCCAAACATATTTTTATAGTTTTATTACACATGCAAAATATAGCAGGGCGAACACAAATTTATAGTCATTATCACTACGACATGAATTAGCACAACCATATGAAATAGTTATGGTAAACTAAAAATAGATTTTTGTGTAGTTGACCGTACTACAAAATAAAGTTACCTGAAACACAGTGAAAAGTACAATAAAACATACGAAATAGTAAGAAACTGTACAACGGTATACAATAGTGATAAATCGTATTTATATTGGAAGTAATATTCCCCGCTTTTTATTATATATACACTGCGTTCACTATGTTTATTGGTTACATCACTTTGCACCCACAAAGAATACTACAAGAAAGCCTCTTACAAAGAAAAGATAAGTCATTCTTATATAACACTCTATGGGCCAATTTCGCAAACGTCGGTTAACTGTTAACCAGAGTTCAGCCAACTCCCTACCTTTTTCTATCTTGTTCTCTAAGAAGAGACAGAGGATCAATTAACCTTCGGTTAGCGGTTAACCGACGTTTTTATAGTAAATTTTTTAAATAGTTGGCATCGCTGTGTCTATATGGTTGCTATTACTAATATTATAGTAATAATTACTATAAAAATGATATTCCTGACTATAATTATTTTACTATGCAATTATAGTTTCAAATACTACATATTTTTCTATCAGTGTAGAAGGACAAGAAGATTTTACGACTGTCCAGCCGTCAATAATAAATAAGCCCAAAGTTTTTAATTGTGTGTCTGAAATGAGGGAAACTTGTGTGACCTCGGCACCTCCGAATCTTCAAAATACATTTATAGTTTTCGTCGACAATCTACCAACGTGTGACCACGACAATTATCAGTTTCGTTTGAGATTCTTCAATGAATCAAATAAATTATTAATTAACCAAAGACTCTCAGTATCCAAATTAGCGAGTGACAAGGAAAAGTGGTCCTTGAGAGTCAAACGCGGCTCGTTGACGTGAGTCATCTTTATGTAACTTCGTCTCGAACGATTTGTAATTTGCGTTGATAATTGAAGTCACATAAAGTTTAATCGCGCACAACAAACTTGGCGCTTGGCCGTCAAGACCCACCTTTCCCTGTTACTCGTTACCTTTAATCAATAATGCCAATTAACCGAAGTGAAATGAAAAATTAAATTAATTCACGTTGCCTTTCGCGACAACTGTATTTTGTAGACACGGAAATTGCGCTTGAAACCCAAAATATAGATTGACGTTACTCACTCTGCAAGCAATCGGCGTTCAGGAGGTCCTTGCACTTTTCGTGACACTTGACACCGCACTCCATGCATCGCACTCCCTGTCGAGCGATGCCCCAGAGAAGACCCTCGCACTCGTAGCAGTACGTCGGCGACGTGGCGGTCCAGGTGACGAAATTGTGAGGAGTGGTCGACGATATAGGATAGATCATCGCTTGCAGAGTTTTCTTGTACACGTGCATCTTCTGCGGGTGTTTCATGGTGCGATTGTATCGCCGTTACATTAAGAAAGAGAAAGAGAGAGGAGGACAAGGAGACGGATGGGCGTTTTATGCAAACATTCGTTTTTCTACTTCGTTTCTTCGCTCGCAAGGGTTACGACTTTTGAGGGACTTGAACGATTCGTTGGACATTATCGCGAATTACTGATCCTTCGAAGAGTCGTTGCTTTCCGACACGTCAACATTTCCAATGTTGAGCAATACTTGATCAAATATTCGATATTGTTCCGCGAACATCTTGTTTGTTACGGATAAAAGAAATACTTTGAATTCCCGATATGTACAGCGTATGACGAAGTGACCACCGTGTCTCTCCATTAGTGTAATATAAAATTCTATTATCCGTGTATGAACAATCGATCCAAGGATTGTGTAATATTAGATTGTACCGGCAATTACATTAGCGAGACTATTTCTGATTGAAGAAACGGCACAGTTTTATTATGACCTTTTTAGAGAGCAGCTCTTTTAATTTCTTACTTACATACTTCGCGCTATTCGATGTTTGAAAGTACATTTCCTTCGATGTAAAATTTGCGTTTCAAATTATAAGCGAAATGCCGAAGGATTAGCATTTCGTTTTTGTCCGTCCGATCTCTCGCAAAAACTCCCTCGTAGATTCAGTCGTTAACCGAAGTGCCTTTGTGGGTTCTACTTATATAATCATGTGCACGCAAACCATATGCAGACACAGGTTTCACAAAGGAAAGCCCGCGTATGGTTCCAATAAAAGCGAATTGGATACGCTACGAAACTGTTTTAGGGGCCTACTTTGCTCGTGCCTCTCGAAAGCAGAATGACTCTCGTCGTTCTAGCTTTAAATTTTCGAGAGCTTCTCTATCGGTTTTCTTTCTCTTCGGGGTTTCTTTTTTCCATGCTTGTGGGATGGGATTACCTAAGAGCTTCGCGAGCACACGTACACGAGCTCCTCGATCCTAAGGAGATCATCACGTTTCATATCGGACATCAAGAATTTTCGCGCTACGTCTCGTCGTGCGACTTTTTCGAAAATATTTCTTTTTTTCCTTGCAAAGTCCTGTACGCGGACAAGTTTTAGAGCGAGCGATATTCTCCGGATATCGTTAGACTATCTAGCGAGAGAAGGAGGGTGTAAAAGCATCGATCCGCTAAGCACTATGGTACTAACGTGTGAACTCGGGATGTTCCCGGTATACATGAATTTTTCAAAATCCGTATATCTTGATCCCGACGTAGGAACGTACATATACTCGTATATACGTAAATGTAAGCAAATGGCTGAATTACCTTTCGACGCGTTACCTCGATATTCTTCAGAACGTTCGGCAACGTCGAAAGCATTTTTCCATTCCAACTTTTTAGCGCTGTTAGCAAAGCCTGCGAGCACCTACATCTACTACGCCTAGTGCTAACGAACCGCGCGACGTATGTCATTGAATTTCACCTCGTAGGGACTTGTTACACCCGTAACCTTTCTCGGGTTGTTTTAATAAATCGCATATCCGAGAAAGGCTTCGACATCTCGTTATCGAATATTGCGCGCGTGTCAAAGTGACCTGGAAAGGACACCTAGGTATTCGATATACGAGGAACATCCAACGTCACAGAAATCGGAAACTCCTACTAGCCTAGCTATTTCTCTCTGATACGGTATCCCGCGTCGTGATACCCCTATGTAGACTATGTAGGCTCTTCTATGGACGCCTTATATATACGCGTGGTTCGACCGCTATTTTCTCACCTAATGCATACATATGCATGTATTTCTTCAGTACATACGTGATGCGTATCACGGCCCTAGCCGCTAATGTGTTTTACACTAGGTCGCTACGTGTTGCTCCAAAGTAACACGGTGCGAGGAGGGGGGGGGGGGGGGGGAGCAAATAGAAATGAGGAGATTCAGAACAAAAACAGGCTAGATCACACTTACGTGAAAGAAAATAGCGTGGAAATGAGGATAAAATGCAGCACGTTTCGTATGAAAAGAAAAGAGAATCCAATGGTTAAGTTAAACTCCTCCGGCGCCGGTCTCTCGCCGGTATTGAAACTTAAAATTAGATGATGTACGATCTAATTCCTCCCTAACGCCTGTCTCCGTATTTCTTCTGATATTACTTTTCGCCTTAATATCTCCGTCTCAAAACTAGAAGCTAAACGTCCTTCTACTTTCGCTTTCGATCTTCCCTCCTTCGTATCACGCGAAGGCTTCCGAATGGAGTACATCACATAGAAAGAAAGTAATTAAGCTTCGCTCTCTGTGATTTATGTCGCGCTAATTGATGCGATATATCGCATCGTCCGCGCAATGGCAACCTTGAAAAATGTCGCTGGAAGAAAGCTTAGTCGTTATTATATACTTATAAAGAGTACTTAAATATCAGCGGGACGACGCGACGATAGCTAACCCTTCTCTTTCAGAACAAGCTTCCCTTGGTTTATTAACGGGTGACGCGATGATAAAGTATAATGACTAAAGGGCAAGTCCTTACCAGCTCTTCGTCGTTCAGCGTCGCTCGAGGTACGGCGGATGTGAGACCAGCGTTCCTCTTCGTCGCTGCCATGGTCTGAGAAAAGATAGGAATTAATGTGCATCTGATAATGGAAATACAATGCCTAGTATCTTCCAGTCTCTCTATCGCTTAGTAAATGATAGTTCTGGGACTGAAAAATTGAAAGGGAGAAAAAGAGAGGGGGAGAGAGAGAGAGAGAGAGAGAGAGAGAGAGAGAGAGAGAGAGAGAGAGAGAGAGCTAGAGAAAGAAAGAGAGTAAGAAAAGGAAGAGGCATAGAATTGATAAAATAAATCGAGAGACGTGAAGAGACGTATGTTAATAAATGTAAAAATACGAAGAATAATTTTTGGAAAAGTGTTATTTACAGAAATCTTTTGACATCGAGATAAAAAGTGTGACGGTTTGACGAGTCAAAATAAAGATATGTGACACTGATGTGAGAACTCAGATTTTTCAGACGACGAGAATTACTTAAATAATGATGGTGACAGAGAGATATATATACACATATATCTCGAAATTTTTAATCAGTCAAATGTGAGTACATTTCCAAAGAAGCAACTTGACATCGAGATTAAATTGCGACTGCCGTAATAAAGTAAAAAACTTGCGAGATAGAAACAAATCCAAAGCCGAAGAGAAATCTTGACGTAAAAGTCTTGTGACGTAAAAGAAGCGGTGACATTACATGCCAAGTGAAATATCGATAAAGTTAAATTTTTATTTACAAGTTTTATGAAGTGGGTGTAAGTATGAGAGAGTTTTATATATATATTTATATATATACACATCGAACGCTTGTAAAAAAAACTATGCCAAGAATCGTTTCGCAAATGTTATAGAAAGCTTTCCAGAGCTGCCATATTTAATGTAGAAGCAGTGTTATGTAACCGGACTTTGACATTTACATATCTCGACAAACACGCGCGTTTCTGAAATACTGCAAATTTAACAAGTACCTACTGACCGCGCGTTTGAGCATACTTTATGACGAACAGGTCACAGCAGGTGCAGATGGACATTTACTCGTGCAAACGTTTGCGGATTAATGTAATATCTGTCCGATTATCTTTGCGCGTGGTCCTGTGCATAGAGAAAATTAATGCAGCGGTCAACAAACAAGATTGCAAGTATTAAAACTGGTAAGATCCAACCCGATGGTCTGGATTATATGCTATCATACACCGAGACCAATGGCGGTAAACCGGAAGCTAATCAAAGACTCTGGACTCTGCTTAATGAGGCCGAGTACAGTTGCAATGCGGTGTAGATTTGCATGTACGATTGGTAACGCGTGTGTTATACATATGTATACTGTATATAATATCGAAATCAGAACGAAGAGAGCGATAGTGAGAAGACAGTGAAAGGCAAGCATTAAGAAGCGAGTGGAGCGGAAACTTTAGGAGATATATAAATCGGTTGGTAGAATAATACAGTGGAAGACAAAAGTGAAAGTGAAAGAGAAAGAGAGAGAGAGAGAGAGAGAGAGAGAGAGAGAAAAAAAAAGAGAGAGAGATAGAGAGATAGAGCGTAGGTGAATCTCTACGGAGAGAAAATCTAATCTAATTAGCTTATAGGTGTCTGGTAGGTATGGTGCGCGATTTGTAGTTAGCATAGATTTTAATTAAGATATTAGACACGGAACCCCGCGAACCGTGCACGCGCCATTGTTTGATCCCGACAATCAAGCATTAATTCCATACATGCTAATATCACTTTTATCCGCCATAACCCACGTATGCTGCTGCGACATTGTTTTTATAATGCGTCCCTCGGCCGGGCGAGGGACGCTGCGACGCGGCACGGGCGGGAGGGGCACCAAGGCAATTTAATTCTGTCTCTTGCGAGAATCCCGCGCGATATCATTTTTCTTAAGGATGTTATCGAGCCATCTCCTTCGCTTCGCTTTACTCGTTTCCTCTCGCCGAGAGGTGGAAACGAAGGAGTGAGCGGAAGAGTATCGGCCAATCAAAGAAAACTTCCGTTAAAACGAGCTGTCTTTAAATTTCCTGGACGAAGTGTCTACTACTTACGACTACGTGTGATATTTTTATAACTATTCGTAACACGTATTTATAGCTATAGCATGGTAGCTATAGCTATCGAGACATTCATGCGACATATTGATGCTCGAACAGAGAACAGTTATGCATGCAGGTGAGAGACATCATGACTGTTATAAGATGGAACAAAATTATTTGATGGACCTAATCGACAGATTGGGAACCATCGGATGAACAACAGATTAAATTTGTGACAGATGATTACACAAGAACAGTTGGCTCGGATCGCTAGATCGCTAATCCGTTTCTGATTAATTTTTATCGATGTCCTAATCGACGTAAACCGTACATTCACATGCGAAACACGAAGTTACAAGTAAGCCATCAACAAAGCACGTTGACAATGCGTTTCGTTGAAATGCAAACATCTCCTGTCTCTTCGACTGCATGAACCGCGTTCAATTTAACGAGCCGCCAGAGACTCGGTATGCTGTTTTCTCGCATTCGATATTTTATACGCGAAAGATAGAAATTGCATGTTCCGCAGATAACAAAATTACCCCGGTATCTATTTACTAACGAGTAGCTACACATGTAACGGAGTCATATTAAATTAGAGATGTAATCAAGAAGTTTCTACACCGCTGACTCTATTCCGTTGAGAAGAGCGCGACTTTCAACGATTCGCAGCGAGGGAAGCGTGCACATCCCCTTTACAGCAAGTAATCAGCGGAAAAAGATGTATAACGAATCGGAACAGAAAAAACAGTTCAGAACAAGTAACTGAAAGAGAAGTGTAAGTCGCGCAGAACAAATAAAGGAATGTAAATTAAAGAAAAAGTAACAATATATATACCATATAGTTAGTGAGAATAAAGACGAATTAAAAATTCGCATGCAAACGTTCGAACAAGCTTTTAATTGACTTGGCTAAGGAGGCATTTAATTAGTACCTTCAAGACCTGGAGGTAGAGTTTTTGAGATTTTTTGAGAGGTTTTTTTCAGTGAGTGGTTTTGTTTTTTTCAGGTGTTCAGGTGGATACAACAACGGGCGCCACAGAGAACAAACAAAGAAAATAGCATTATATGCCGATTAGTACGTATATCACTTGCACTTTCTTTTTCTTTCATTAAATTATGATATAGATATAGATGTTTTAAAAGTTAGACACAAGAGAGGCACAAAGACGACGTTAACGGACGTTAATCAGGACTGCTTCATCACGAAGAGACAATTGCGTGATGTGAAAACACGAAGGGAATAAAGTTATCCCCTTCTAATAAAGACGTTGCATCACGTTTTGACCATGACAAACAATTTGCATTTTAGGAATCTATGTCTCCGTGGTGAATTTAAACGACCGAAATTACTGGGCGATAATCGCGTTTCACACGTGGTCAGTCAATTTCGTTCGTTCGGCATTGATGCAGGCGACGCGTGGTTCGCTACTGCTATTGCAATTTTTCTGGCGATACAACGCAAACGTTTTCGCGGTTATAACCCAGTAATCTTTTCGCGCTTTTTGCCGACTGCCTGGACAATTTTGTTCACGTCACGATATCACACAAAAATATATTTCACGTCGCGAGACTTGAGGATTTCGGGGTTATACGAGATATGCACAACAATTATATGTAAACCGTTAACATTAAACAGGGAGAACAAACATACAGACATCGGATTCCGGGATCTAAAGGTGATCGAGGATGTCTATATTCGGGGGAAAGAGGGGGGGGGGACTGGAGTTGCAATGCTACTTGTCAGAGAGGGTAGAATTGGTGAATCTCTTTTCGACACTGAATCGATATGTAATCCGTAGAAAGATGTGATCAAGGTTCTTAAATAATCTCAAATCTACAATTTTCAAAGTGGGACGAGTTAAGTACATTATAGGTGCTAAGTGAAGAATCCAATTGTCTATTATTTTGCTCTGACGAAAATTACATTTATACTGCCAACGTTTCACTTTCCCGGTGTTAAATTAAATCACGTTTTCCGCGACACACTTATCCCTACTAGGCGCTTTTCTCCGGAGCGCGATCGATAAACTACTTAAGAATTTCATTTAAAGCATCACGCACTAGTTGCACACGCGAGCTCTTAGCCTGCAATGGCATCCATGACGTAGACAAGACATATTTATTATCGTTTCGAACATGTGCGTCATTATCGTGTATATAATAATCGACGCAGGTGTGCAGAATATTTCCGCGCTTTATAAACTACACGTCGTTTTATGCTTGTTTTTCTTTCCCTTTGTAAATTAAGCTCGATTGGCTATTTTTGCCGATTTATTGGCTGAAATACACAGTCGCGCGGAGAGTGATTTACTTAAAAGGGTGCGCGACTACTTGTCTTTATTCTGCACATTGTTTATACGGCCGGCGGAATAAATCGTCGCGAATATATCGACGACTTATTCGAATTTCAAATCGCGAGTTTTCTAGTATTTTCGATCGACCGCTCGGAGATAGAGGCACGGCTCGAGAACCAGCCGCATCAGCGAATTGCGAATTTAAATTTTGCGGCGGAAATGCTCTCGCCGATTGCAGTCATATGATCGTCATTGGCGCGATTATATTTGTTAAATTGCGTTGAAATAATGGTAGAAACCTCTCAGTCGGGTTACTCGTGTTTGACGAGTCAATGAATTTTATTTTATTAACGTATTTATTCATGGATATATTTAGGACATTAATAGATAGAACTGCAATCATCGGGTCGTGAAATGTAACGTCTTATTTCTTTGGGAATTTCAGGGAAGAAAGGAATTAGACAAGAGGAAATATTTTGTCAGATTTGCTCGTTGGCGCTTTACGGTGATTTTTTAGAAAAATTAGCAATTCGATTCGTCGCAGAAAACGACGGTAACACTGAAACGTAAAACACGCAATTAGGTCACGACGAGGTACACGACGAGTTTGTTGCAAGCCGCATCGGAAGATCTTTCGCTTTGTCGTGAAATTTAAACGAAATGCCTTTCAGTTTTATCCTTTGGTTTTCGTACCACGGCAGATCCTCGGATGCGTCGTGCAAGATACACAGAATTAGATCTCGCGACGAAGGTATTTTTAGGTTGTCGTCGTCGTCGTCGTCGTCGTCGTCATCGTCTCCCGAGATGGAGATGAAGTTAGAAAAGAAGCGAGGGCTGGTTTTATAATCGAGATAACGCAGCCTTTGCGTTTCCGTAGCCGTCGGATGACAAACTAATTAAGCTCGAGATAACTTTCAGTTATAATTTTCCGCTGCGTTCACTAATATATTCATAAAAGAAGTTGACAGAGAGAGAGAGAGAGAGAACACGAAGTTACAGTATCCTTTGTAGCTTTTTCTTCGGAAAGACGACAAGATGAATACAACGCGAAGCAACGATGCTGCCCGTGGTTGTCGGGTATGTATCAGCAACCGTATTAGCATAATCGACTGCACGTGCCGCACGATTGATCGGTGTATCAAATATCGATTCATATGTTATATCTCGCTTCGACACTCGAACCGGCATATTTCGCAAATGGATTTACTACATTCGCCAATGGCGTGGAATTATACATCTCGTATATAGAATGGATACGTATAAATATACAAAATATGCTGTGAAAATAGTTTTTTAAAAATTTCCACGTGAATTTTTACTATTATAATTTATATGCTCTCGTTCGGTGGGCTCTCTCACGTATTTCGCGTGGGCATTGCCAACAGTGCACACGCTGCCACACACATCGCGGTAATTAATTCTAGCTCTGTTTCACTTCTGCCGGTGCAAACGCGGAACACAGGATCGCAGAGCGTACCAAAGGGGCCACGCGTTAAAATTCTAAAATAGCCGCGCGTATCAAGAGGTGGCCTCGAGCTAGTTGGGCGAATTAATTAAATTCAACCGGCCGCATAATCGCTGCGGAGAGATCGAGAGAGGTCAGACCCGCGCTGTGGTGCGCGGAAGCGAAGATGACTGCGTTTTCAGCTACATCTCAACGACCACGGGCGAAGAGAACGACGACGATGGCGACGACGTCGATAACGACGGCGACAACAACGAGAACGTTTCGTCGGATCGGATAATTATTTCCGACGAATATATATATGTATGGACACGGTCCAGGCAATGTACATATATGTATGTGTGTACACGGTGTACTTATACATATGTATATATACGCGGAGACAATGGCGGAATGGTGTTAATGGGCAATCGGCTACCTACCAGCTCGGAAACCAATGGTATCGACTTCCGGCGCGGTCGAATGTCCGGCATGCTGTCGATGGTGCTGTAGAAGGGATTGTCGCCTGGATGTCTGGAACAGAAAAGATTTCGGATGCTGCATCAGCACGAGTCTGCGATTACGTCCATCTTCCACTTGGATAGCTCGCGCTAAATCCCGCAGTTTTATATATATATATTTTTTACCGTTATGTCATTATTTTTATCGTTATATTATATCATTAATCTTTATCATCGTATTATTTCTATTTGTTATGAGATTATACTTGTTCGAATTATGTTTTGCAAGTTTGAAAAATCAAAGTTGAAGTGTTTGAACAGTGTGGACAACAAAAGAAATGAGCGTCGACAAAGTGTTTGCAGGCGTTGAATCTAAGATCGATTCTTTGCGGATTGAAAATGAACTGAACTTTCAAATCAAACTGCAAGCTTAAGTTAGCTGCAGTTCTAGTCGAGATCTCTTCGTGCATTTCGGAGTGTTTGAAAATCTGCTGGGAGCACGATGGAAATTTCGTGCTCGTTAGAAAGTTTTTAGAAAATCCAGGTTTTCGCGAGTTTAAATCTGTTCTTCGCCGCATCATCGCAAGAATAAAATTATATTCGGAGGTTTTTATCGACGCCTCTTGATTCCTGATAAATTATTTATAAGTTTATCTTGAGGAACATCGTGATGAAATCTATGCAAACTAGTGTAAACCGTAAAATTATTTCAGGTCAACTTAGTGATCAATTTTATAATATTAAGCCTGACTCTTTGCAAGAACTTGTTAAAAATGACACATCAAGTATCCGTTCGATGTAACAAAGCAGATATAGAATATAGGTAACACTACGTTACCTCGAAAAGATCTCGATTTCTAGGAAAACGACAACGTATTATATGGCGAGCATCTGGGTTTTCCCGAGATCTAAGAGCCACTTACGTAGTTCAATTTTTTTTTATATATGTCGAATAATGACAGACCGTGAAATACATCACCATTCGTGCGACTCAAAATGGAAATTTATCGGAAATATCGATGTGTGTGTAACCGCGAGTTGAAAGAAATTTTATCAATGATTTCATCTCATCCTCCATTTGACGCATAAAAATGATTGAGGTGTCTTGAATCACCTCTCAATAAAATCGATATAGATATTTCTCTGGTTTCCCTGTTGCGTACGAAATTGTGATTTTTTTATCTCTCATGTTTGATTCAATAAACATGATGCAGCGGGGAGAATTACATAAACATTAATTTCATATATCACACAATATTGCCATACATCACATAATATGCGTATTAAAATACCAATGCGTTTTTTAAAAAGTAATGCTTCGGAGATGAATGTGAAATCTGAGTGCATTTTCAAATTGAAATTGATGCGATATGAGTATAATTATAGGATTAAAGGTGTAATTAGGTAATAACGCGACGTACTCACCCGTTCGCTCGTCCACCGGATTCGCCGCCCGGCCCGCTGCCGTTCTAACAAACAAAAAAACAAGTTTATTAAAAACAAGCTCAGTAACAGTTTCAAAAAACGAAATGGAGGGCGCGCGATGCCGAGCGTGTGAACGCAATATGTGACGCAGGGTTTCATTTTCGCATAATTACAGTCTTAGATAAAAGACGTGCGGCCACGGAATGACGCGAGCAAGAGTAACGATGATACGAGGCGCGATCGATCTTGGAAATTCTCGTTTTCTCGGCGCTCAAAGCGACAGATATTCTAATAACCGCCCCGGCTTCGGTTGGATATTACAAAACCACGAGATGAATTTCTCGCTTTGATTTCCGTGGCCGCGCGCGCACGCACAATGCTCTGTTTCATTCCGAATCGTTTTGTCATCTATGGGAGAAATTGCGAATGGGGTAGAATGAGATGGGCACGGAGGAAATCGCTGGATGACGTGGGAAAACATCATGAAATAGCTGCCTTCCTGCGTCGGTCGCCAAAGAATGGAGGAAAGGGAGAGAGGGCTACCATTCGCGTATGAAAGAGCGGTCTCTCCCTCGCGGAGAGTCGACTTCTTCACCCTCCCTTTCTTCTCCCGACCGCCTGATTTAGATTCAGGACTTCCTTCCCCCGGATCGACTGCGATCCGCCTTCGTCCGCACTCTGCATTTTCCTCTTCGCCCATCTATTGTTCCTCGCATCGCAAATCTCCCAAACTCCGTCGACTGCATCGATGTAAACGTACTCTCCGTCTCCGTCTCTCCCTCTTTCTCTCTCGCAATCCAACTGCGAACCACCACTTTCCGTTTAATCCCTTTCTCGTTCGTCAGACAGGTCGAACCCATTCTCGTCTCGCTTGTCGCCATTAATCAACCTTCGGCCCGCCGGCGACCTCGAAGAAGCACCGGCATTTTGTCGTCTGTCAGCTGGCCGGATTCATGGTTCGATCGTCCGTACGGGTCCACGGTGTACTCGCGATAAATTCTGTTGGTCCGGGTTGTCGTGCCTCCACTAGCCCCGAGGTCCTGACCCTCCTCCATACTGGTCCTTTCCGCACCAGGCTTCTCTCGGTCTTCTCTGTATCTCCCATCATAGTAACGATTTTTCTCAATAAGGATTCGACCCCGAAAGCGAGAACTAATCGATCCCTTCCGCCGAAGAGAAAGGGATATATACATCTGGCATGTCGGACGCTGTTCACAATTCCTTCGTTTTCTCGAGTATCTGTCTTCTCCTCTTGCTCCCTCCCTCGTTTTTGCTCTCCTGCGCTCTTCGCGTACCAACCCACGTTCACTCGGCCGCGCGGTGAAATGGAAGTTTCGGAGATAGAGTGTGTATAACAGCCCGTATAAATATAATATCACGTACAATACGTCGTAAATTCTGTCACGATAGAGATATAATATAAACTTATCGATAGCATAACAAGTGTAATAAGTATTTAGAGTTAGAGCCGCAGGTATTTCGTCCCTTAACGCTGTCGCTTTCTCCCTCGCACTCTCTCGCTTCTTCCGCGCTCAATTTCTCTTCTTCATTCTCTCAGATTACAATTTTTCGTCTTCACTCTCGTACTTCTCGCTCTTTCACTCTTTCTCTCCCACTCTATCGCTCGTTCTCGTTCTCTCTTTCTTTTAAACAGTTTCGCGGAAAGGGGTTTCTTTTCTCTGATCGCTTAAAAAGCTTAGATAACATTGGAGCATGATATTCGTTTCATTTTCACGTTTAATCACGAAATGGCGGCCTTTGAGAGCGTCTCGTTGAAGAATACGTAAATAAAGCACGAAGCATTAATTCTCATTGTCGCAATACGCTCATATATGAGTTTGCAATGAGTCGTTGGATGAGAACGTCTTAATTGACAATAAGGATTACGTTTGATCGAAGAAGAAATGATTAAATAATACTGCAGCACAAGTGCAGCCGTACGAGAGTATGCTATAAAAATAGAGAAACAATCGCGTAACCGCAAAATTCCGGATAAAAGAGACCGCGCAAATCATGTCACAAAGGGGGAGCCGGTTTCATCAGCGGCCCGAAAATTCGTGCCGCATATTTGCGGCGTAAAGTGACATTTTCTGCCGACGAAACGATACGCAGATTAATTATTCATAATATATATGATGAATTTCACTGCACAACGGCTAATTGGAGCTGGTCGACTCATAAATTTCTCCCCGTAGCGAAATTAGACGCGACATTTCCGATGTTACGTGACATAATTTTTGTCAACGTGCGGGCATTCGCGCGCTATCGGAATTAATTTGTTCCCGATAGACGTGACGCCCGATAAATAATACGGGGTGAAAACATCGATACTTGGAGAGAGACGCGCTCAAAGGCAAGGAAACATACATACAACTCAATGGTAGATATATATCTATACAGAATATAGTATCGCTTCGCGAATATAATTCTGGCAAGCGTTTACACACAATTAACAATAAAAACCTAACCGCGTATGTAGTTGTGTCTGTATGTGTGTCTGCATCTGTTACTCATTACTCTCTAACAAGTTTCTCCTTTATCTATTAGGCCTTAACAATGTATTTTGCTTTAATTCGCTTAGACACTAGTCGTCAATTGACGGTGCTATTCGCTAAGTTGAGAAGCCTTAAGAAACCTTCGCTGTACTACAACGATCGACGGGGGATGAGCACCTTCGCGCTCGCCCCTCCTGTTAATGATATGACACTTAATGAAACGATATTGGTGATATGCAGGTGCGATTTAAGGTGCCCACTCGTCGAGACTCTGTAACACGCGTGATTGAAGCGTCCGAACGTACGCAGTTATGTCGAATGACTCTTTCAGTAGACTGCGTCGGGGTATCTCGGCGTCCATCGGCTGAAAGCCAGATCGCACTATTTTCACGAGCAAACTGTTCCTTGGCGTCGAACTGGATCGGGGTCGCGGAAAAATTTATGCGAAACTTCGCCGTCGTCTCGTCTCGACGAGAAGACACATTCACGATAAAGCTCTTCGCTCTGTACCTTGTATCCTGGATTTTACCCGCGGCCAACGCGTGTATCTACCTCACGAAAATATGAGAGAGAAATGCCTTTTACCAATTCCCGCAAATTAGTCCTACGTGTATATCGATTAGCCGTAAGTGATTGTTAAATATTGTCAGTACCCATAGAATTTCTCTCTCGTTCCACTTGCAATATCATTAATCAGGAACTCATTATACGGGATACTCTCTAGGAAAGGTCTACATCTGATGCGAGTGATATGTAATATGTATGCCATGTGCGATCTGCGCGATACGTGTATTTGCGAAAGTCACTTCGGCATGATATACGTAGCGAGCACGATGATTTGCGATGATATGACGTCGGAATTTCGGCAGACTTTGTAATTATTGAATTGAACGGGAATAAAGTACACACCGTGCGAGAAACGCGGTCAATTCCTTTGCGTTTCTACGTAAGGATTTCGATAATAGCTGACGTGGCTCACTTACGAATTCAAGGGCGACGCTACGACGTGCCATTAGCGAACGAAAATACTTATGCATGCAAAACTACGCTTTTATGCGGCTCTCAAAGAGAGAGAACATCGCGATTGGAAGTTGATTGTACAGTCGCGTTGCGTATAAAAGTTACGAGTCGTTGGAATAGATTTCCCGCGGGGTTTCCATATTCGGGAAAGGAATGGATCCGATTGTCACATACATATACGAAAATGCGCGCATGTCGGTGATTAATGGAAATGGAAATGGGGCACAAGCTACGGGAAAGCTAATACAGCACTAGGAAGAAGACTGGCCCAGGAAACGTCCACATGCCGTTTACGTATGCATGCGATATGCACGTGCTTTTGCATAAAAGCCAATTTTGCGCTGCGTCCCGGTACTACCATCAACCTGCTGAGTACGCGAACAAGTGCATAAGCGTAAAAAAAATATTGGGAGCTGTAAACTTAAGTGCTGCTGAAACAATGGAACTTTACCAAGACCGTCGAAATTCCGGATTCGTGCGATATGTATGAATACAGCCGTGATTTACGAATATGTGTGCGTTCTCACGAGCGATGACAATAATATCAATGTCATTAAGGTGGTTATATTACTACGTAATGAAGAGACAAATAATTGTATGTAATAGAAAATAGAAAAGGCTCTCCACGCGAATCTCTGAGACAGACGACAATGCCGATAAGTCAATTGCGTTATCGATCCCTTGTGAGGTGATACGCGAGTAAATTCCCGTAAGTGTTAGTCTAAAACGAGAATGGCCGCAGGTAACCAGAGGCATTCGCCCGGTGTGTGTAAGTTTGTGGCATAACATGGACACCGTGTGAATGTATGTGGGTATGCATATGCGATTTCTGCGAATGATATGTCGAGCTGTATGTGTGACGATAGTAGCATGGTGTGCGCCCAACTGTGCTAGCGGCCAAGTTCTAGACCCGCGCTGCGTGGCAACCTAATCCCACGTTCGCCTAATCATCCCACAGCTCACCGCGATTTATCTTAAACTTCCGCTTCCGCACGTGGATACGTATACATAGTAATACCCGATTCGCCCCTCGTAAATTATCGTTATAGTCCGTATCCGTTGCGTTACGAGCACCTTTATTGTTGCACCAATAATCTTAATTAGAACGGGATATGTTTCTGGGATACCCTTTTTCTCTCTACCGGCCCTGCGGTGGGGCGGCTTGAACACATGTGAGAACACAGAAATGCATTTCGCGTAAGAGGAAAAAGAGAAACTTGAAAGACCGTCTTACATGTATGTAAATCTCGGGTCGTAAAAAATCTTTTTACACGCCCAACAATTTGCTCGCGTCTATTAACATCGAGTCGGCAATCGTTGCACAACATTCGAAAGACACCGGTTCCCCGTGTCTGCGTGACACGACACCCTTTATGCCTCCCGCCCGCGTCATGTGTTTAATGTTCCGTGTAATTTTGACGCGTCTGCGTTATTACTGCGGATTCGAGATGATTATTCACGAATGGTTGCCCGCAATGAATTGCAAGATGGCAATAAATGGGGAATACGATTAGTCGTCAGACGTGATT